TCGAATCGAATCGAATCGAATCGATCGGACAAACGATTCGCTAGTTTCGTCCGTTCGTACTACGTCCGTAACGGCGTAAAATCTTCCCGAGTAAGAGGAGGAAGCATACGAGCTTATATAATAATACGCGCAAGTGGCGGTCGGCTAACAGGTAAGTACATTATATTATATTTACGGTACGTAAATTCGGAATTTCAGAGTCGAGAGGAGATTACGTGGGGAGGTTTCCATCTCGGATCCACTATTCGGCTGAGTAAACCGAGTTTTCGTCCGGCGGTTTGGCCGAAGCGAAACTGCATTTCTCAACAAATTTCAAGAGCGTTCGGAACACGGATACCTGTTTCATCGATCAGCGACCGATCGATTTGCTCGCGATGGAACGTGACACGATACACTTTGTGAGGGGCAGAGAGAGAGAGAGGGGGGGGGAGGGAGGGGGGAGAACGGAATATAGCAAACGATACGGGAAGGAACGAAGAGGGCTGTTTGGTTCCGTCAACGCTCGGTTACGCGAACGTTGCATTCCTTTTGATTTACAATTAATATCGACGTATGGAGGGGGAGGGGGGGGGAGCTAGCTGAAGGAATCGCGGAACGCGGGTATAATCAACGTCGGATAATGGTCGATGGAAGGTGGTTGGGAAAGATGGATGGAAAATTTAGAGGACGTGACAGTGCGCGTTGCATGGAAATTGGCGCGACGATCGCGATCGGTCGCCGATTGATCGAAAGGGGAGCGGCTGAGTCGACTCGTTCTCAACTTGCTGGAAGTACGTTTACTCGAGAGGCGAAGGTGAACCGCTCTCGCAGGAACGCGACCTACGAAATTACATTCTCGCCTCGATTTTGCCAGTTGCGTAAACCAACGAACGAACGAACGAGCCTTTGCGCTGCGCTGCGCTGCTCTGCTCTGCTCTGCTCTGCGCTGCGCTACGTTGCGCACGCACCGTCGGATTTGTCGATCGGCGCGATCGCGCTTTCACCCAAGCGCAATTTCTTCGATATTACGCACACGGCAGGATTCGTGCGCGCGCTCCGCTAAAAAAAAAAAGAAAAAGAGAAGAAAAAAGATATGCGAGCGCAACTCGCTCGACAGAATGACCGCGTCGTAGGATTTTTTCAGCCAAGTTTGGACAAGAGGAGAAATAGAATTGTAGTTTCGCCGCGGTCTTCTCCCCCGACGACGACGACAAACGAGGATGATTTTCCTCCAAACAGTACGTTCTCTCTTTTCTCTCTCTCTCTCTCTCTCTCTCTCTCTCGCAGTCCATTCGATCGGAACGTTCGTGTTTGTCCATTACCGAATCGACAGTTGCGCAAGAACAGTTTGTGACGCGTGAAAACCTGGAACTCGCGTTCTCCCGTTCCGCGTATTTTCCCAATTTCCCGAGAGAGAGAGAGAGACTCGAGTCTCGAATAATATCTCAATTGATGGTCAATTTCTCGAGAGCTTCGGCTAATGTTAAATATTTAACGGGGAAGGACGTAGTTTTGTCCGCAAAGGCAAGATTGCGTCGCTGGAAAGACGTTTAACGAGGATCTTGAATCGTCGTTTTTAGACGGTCGTGAATGGTCGGAAGCCGGTAACACGGTAATGAGAGCATCAAGTGGACGATCGCGTCGCGCCCCGTCTACGTGTGAGT